TTTTTTTTTTTTTTAATCTGAATGTAGCTGAATTGATTCTTGTAAGGTGCTGAGGCATCTCGTAAGGATTTGATGTTCATCCTGAAATATCTTAAATTGTATTGATTGTCTATTCATAGTTGGGTGGGATCCTAGGTTGAACTTAGCTGAAATTGTAGACGCTCGGGCATTTGACGAGCTGTATTTTATTCATTCGGCTTCCTTGAACATGCCAACTAAAGGAATACTTTTGGGGTCTTGAATAGAATGTACTTGTACTTTTGGGGTCTTGAATAGAATGTACTTGTATCCCTTGGAACAACACATATATTTCTCGTGTTATCTACGGTTTTTTGAATTCTTGATTCACTGTAAACATCTTATATCATCAACTTTGTATTTATGTTTTCAGGTTGATACTAAAATCGCGTCGGACCATCACAAGTCGTCAAGGCAGTATCATGGTATATGATTTCTAGAGGCATATACTTTCTACCCTATCTGTCCTTATTTATTTTTTAGTCTCTGCAAACCCATCCGTCTCGTTTTATTATGTTTTCGAAATTTTACCTGTAACGTTATCTTATTATATCCACTAGCTATCTATGTTATTACTTTATGTATTCAGCTAAATGATGAATATCTAGCATTAAATGTTTGACCTTTATCCCTGGAATCACCAGCATGTTGAGATTGGTTCTTTGATAAATGTTTTTCGTCTTTTTCTTTTTCTTACTATCAGTTAAGTGAGACATGTAAATTGCTTATTTATATGATATTTTGGATGTAAAGCTTGCATTGACATCTACAGTTAAATGCAAACTTTTTACGTTTTGCACAAGCATGTGTAGAAAATGTCAAATTCTGTATTTTATGTATTTACTTGTTAGAGTTTCGTATTTTGAATTGTTATATTTATTATTATTATTATTATTATTATTATTATTATTTTTCTTTTTCTTTTTTTGGTTGGCTTTGAAATTTTCTTGTAAGTGTATTCTTGTGGAGACGTAAATTGAACTAATGGATACCTGTATTTTCTATTGTTTGCCATTGTCAGGACACCAATATTTTTAGTGATGAGAAATTAGAGAGCAGACTTTACATTGGTAACCTTGATCTGAGAATAACAGAGTAAGTGACACACATAACCCAAGTGTTCTTTTGGAAGACCAGTTTTGGTTGCTAGCTTATGAGTTATGAACGCTTTTAAATAATTTTCAGGGCTGCTCTGATTAAGATGTTTTCTCCATTTGGAAAGATTATCTCCGAGGACTTCTTATGGCATACTCGTGGCCCCAAACGTGGAGAGCCACGTGGTTATGCTTTTATCCAGTTCAGTAATAAAGAGGTAAGTTTCCCTTTGAGTCTGTCTCTAGTTTTACGGATAGGTTCGATCTAAATTGAATTGGGACTGTAAAATCTTGACATAGTTCTTTGAATATAGTAACACGAAACAGCTTCATTGTGCAATCACGATTATGAAAGAATACTTGTCAGAAACAGTACATGACTAGTTTTGATATAATGAAAAGTATTATCAACAGCAAAAAATCTCGGAAGGTAGTTTCTTCAGTTATTGTTAAATTCTAAAATTACAAATAAGGAAATACCCATATGACAATATTGATAGAAAAAAACCTCGGAAGGTACATGTTTATCCAACTAAGAGATATGTTTATCCTCCCGTGTACCAAATGCTGATCCCTGCTTTTAAAAGTGAGAATGTAGGAAGCAGTAAAGGCCAAGGAGAAAATGCATGGACGAATGGCTTGTGGACGGCCGTTGGTTGTTCGTCTGGCCAGTGAGAAATACCCAACTGAAGGATTATCCAACTCTTCCAAATGCCTCGAAGGTGGCAAGGCGGGCCTATTGGGTGGAGGTTGCGCGCATAATAGCCGAAGTGCAAAAATAGCTGCGATAAAGAACAAACTGAAGGCGATGGATGAAGAGAATCATAATAAAACCTCGAAAAAACAGAAGCTGATTGATACATCTTGCATGGAAAAGAATGAGAATGCTTCGTCTAGTAGATAATAGGATAAGGCAAATAATGTTAACCGAGTTTTGTGGTGTATGGTGTCATTTCTCCAGTTTATATTATGGTTGTTTAGGATTACAAAGTGTATCATAAAGTCCGAGGAAACACGCCAGTTTGGTACTTAAAGAGTTCTATGTTAGAATTGAAGTAGAGTGCGAAAATTTATTAATTTTACTTTTGAAACAATTCATTAAAATAATATAACAATCTTATAACCCAAAAATCTCATATATTAAACTTTTAATAAATTAGATATTTGGAACCAAAATTCGAATTTTAGATTGCATCTTATACTAAAAAAATAAAGGTTCATGTTGTAAAAGAAAAAATAAATACGTATAGTACATGTCATTTTTCCTAGACTATATTATTAATCCATTGGCTCTTAACCTAATTTATATTTTCGTTATTCTTTATCCAAATTGTTCCAATGACTATTAAACTTATTGCGAATTTGACAATACATTATACATTACCCTAAAAAATTTCATTTGGTCATTCGACTATTTATATTATACCTTAGTTGACATAACATTATATTCTCGTGGACCAAAGACTGCATATCGTCAAAGAATATTGATTCACGCTTTGATCAACTTGTACTTTCGTAATTATTCTTTTGTTATTGGTAGATGATCGCCTTAGTTTTTGGTTGTTCATTCATATATATATATTCAACTAATCATCAAACTTTCAATTATTATTTTGGGCAGAGATTATTATTGTGCTATTCTTTCACATATTTTATTGTTGGACTATTTTTGTTATTAACTAGCATTTGTTATTTTTCTTTCACGGAGTTATAGAGTCGGGGATAAAAGGATGCAGTCCTATAGAGGCGAAACACACTATAAGAGGCTGAGCCTAGATACACCTTAGTGAAGTTCCATCTTAAACCAATTAATAATAGAAGGAGTAGATTACTAGTACGGGTGAATATGAGTCGGTAAGGTTCTGGAGATTTATTAATCTCCAGAACAGTACCGAAAGTCGAAGATTACTGAAACTCAATCTTTGGAACTGTACCAAAAATTGGTTCCGTTCGGTTCAATTTGAAGATTTTTATTATTCTATACGGTTCAGTTCGGTATTCTGGATAATCGAGACGTTTGGTTTGGTTCTGAGCTCCAGAATTTCTAATTATTTTTCAATTGATTTTTTTCTTTTCCCGAAACGATAGAGATTTTATATAACTAAAAATCGCACAAAGTGCGAAGAGAAGACAACCAAAAGCTGAAGGATACAACCAAAAGCTGAAAAGACTGGGAGGACAGATCCGAAAATCGCCTAGAGTCTAACTTAGCAACGCTAAATGAACACCCTCACGACAAAAAAACAAAAACAATAAAAAACTACTAACTCCCAAACAAGAGTCTAAAGCGATCTCAACATGAAATTGGCCGCTCACACTCGGGCGCACATGGACCAAAAAAAAAAAAGAGACTTAAACAAACAACCACACAAAAACAACAAAAGAAACAAATGAGCCCTTCCAGATCAAAAAGATCGAGCCTAACCAGCAGATGAATAATCGATTTCGAGGAGAGATCAAAAGGCCAGGAATCGCAACCGAAACTGCCGAACCGCCTAGCTGAAGTCGAAACCATGCCCAAAATCAAAATTGAAATCGACCCATCCCCAGCTGGAGGAAACTGGATACCACCTTGCCCAGCTAACACCACTAGCCGAGACCAGCACAACCCAACCTTGCTAACACCACTAGCCGAATACAGACGCACCAGATCCCCCAAAGCCAACAGTAGAGAACTGGGGAGAGAAGAGCAGTTCGACACCTCCATTCCGACCACCCCGACGCAAAGCACCACGAACCGCCTGAGCCTCGCCCCACCTCCTAACCCACACTCCATCCAATGTCGCTGCAAAACCTGGAAGCTGACAACCGGAGCCTTCGGGACCGCACCTGGAGAAGGGAAGTCCGTCTGAACCGCAACAATCGCCATCGCAAGACCTCGAGGTGCACGCTACTTCAGGGAGAGGGACGAGTAGCTGAGGGTGACTATTGGCCGAAGCCCCGATTTTGCCCGAGGAAGGCGAACTGAAGATGAATAAGAGGGGAGAAGATGTCAGCGATTTGGGGAAAAAGGAAAAAACTCAATCACATAATTTTAACTAACTATCTCTTCATATCTCTTCATATCTCTTCAATAGAATTTTGATATGCGTCTTCTTTCTTTCTTTTTTAATAAAAATACCAACATTCATCAATACCTAATCATATTAAATATTCGAAAGAATAATCTAAGTAGCTCAAAATTTATATAAGACTAAACTAGTGCAACTAATGATGAACATTTGATATTCAAATAAAATATAGAGAAAAATACACTTTGCCTACCGAACTATTCGCGTTTTTATACTTTGCCCATTAATCTTTTTCCGGTGACACTTTACCCCTTGAACTTCGAAAAATGTTCCACTTAACAACTTTCGGCCATTGAAGGACCAATATCAAGGGCAAAATTGACCTTTTAGGTACTAATTTTGGACATAGTTGTCATTTGACGTACACAAAATGGTCGACCCTCTGTAAAATCCCCAAATTATATTTTATAAACAACAATCCCTAAACCCCCAAATCAAAATTCTAGGGCTAAGGCTTTGATTTGTGAAGTGGAAAATTGTTAGTTCAATTAGTGTTATGCCAAAACAAAAGAGGAGAAAATGTAGAAGCAAACTTTGGAGATGACCTTGGATGCGCAATATTTTGGAAAGAGGAAGTTGATGGTGACGTCGTGGACGGACAACAACCCGCGAAGGCGATACGCGACCTGCAAAGGAAGCAAAATCGGAAGGGTAAGTTGATTGAAACTATTTCAATGTTTATTTATTTTATTTTTATTTTTTAGAAATTCAGTTATAGGTGGATTGTTATTGATTTTTTGATTGTACATTGACTTGATTTGTTCAAGAATATTGGAAGCATTTTGTGTGCATCGACCATCCAATGTGTACAAGAGCTCGACAAATTATACCTGGACTTCTGAGACACATTAATCTAGCAGAAGCTGAATTGGCAAGCCAAAAAAAAAAGGGTGAAGTTGTTGTGGTGTGCTATTGTTATTTCATGGATCATGATGTTTTTCCTTCTTAAGAAGTAGACATATTTATCAGGTTTAGTTATTTTTTT